TGTCTGGGGTTTAAGTGGAGAGAAAATGTTTTGAGAATGATGTACAAATGCGCTTTACACAATTGATGTGTGTATGGATTGCGATAACAGTTGTATGAACCCCTAGTAAAATGTTTAAAAAAATAGTTGGGTTTATGCGTAGATTAAGAAACCCTGGTGACACAGTGGGTTAAGCATTTGACTGCTAACTGCAGCGTGGTATTTCAAATCAATCAGTTGCTCTGTGGAAGAAAGATGAGACTGTCCCCATAAATATTTATAGTCTCAGACACGTTATGGAGCAGTTCTTCCTTGCCCTGTAACATTATTATGAGTCAGAATGAACTCAATGGCAACAGGTTTAATGGATAGACAGATTTCTGGTGATCTTGACATGTGGATGAGTAGATGACGTATGGCCGGATGCTGGTGATTGAATGGATAGATCGCTCTATTGTGGATGATTCCAAATCCTGATCTGGGAGAATGTAAGAAATCGTGTCCTATGACCTCAGAGAAGACTGGCACCAGGACAGTTTTCCTGGAGCCTGTTGAATTCTGTTGATGTGTGTTCTGGGCTCATTGCTTGGTGCTTGGTACAGAGATTGTCAGAAATGGACCCTGGCCTCAAGCAGATTCTACCAAGCATTCCAGAGGATACCACGATGAATCCCAGTGTAGAGGTCACGGAGAGTCCAGGCGAGAGGTAGTGAGCTTCCTCCAAGCACTGGCATGACAGCAGCTGACTCAGTTTCCTTGCTGGCAGTGGCCACTATTGAACATCACATGGACAAGGACTTGAAGAACAATGCCCCCAGACACTAACTTTCAGGATATAATGGGGTATGCTCCTCAGAAACTGGCTTTCGAGGAACACTGCTGAAGTTTTGAGCTGTCGAGTGTCTTTTAAAAGTTAATGGAATAATTCAATCCTTTTTTCCACCAATTTTTTGAAGTTACCATGTATTTGTATGAGTCTTTGCCTCTGCCTTCCATGAAAGAGCCCTAAAGTTTCTTCATGAGGAAAAGACTAGCAAGTTAGGTACAGGTCTAGTCTCTAAAGTCAAGGACCGTCTCCATGCTGGTCTTCTGTACCAGTCGGTATCAAGCCAGGGAGAGTTCAGTGGATGGAGCACAAAGGGTGAGCCACTTAGAATTTGCCAGAAAAAGCAATATCCAAAGACATGATTACAGTTTGAAAAGAGCAAGAATTTTCAGGAAACATTGTTGACCTGTAAGTTCACTTGGAGCTAGTGGGTGCTGTGGAGAGTCTTGGTGTACCTGGGTTCAGAGTGGGAGATTGGGGCATTCAGATATGTAAACTGGGTAAGTTCCAGAGGGGCAAGCAGTGACTCCAGTTTGTACTACTGCAGGGCACCATCGTCTCCTGTGCTGGAGTCCAGTTGTGCCTATGGACTGTCAATGGACAGGCGCTGGCCAGCATCACCACAGCCTGGGGTCCAGAAGGAGCCATAACCTGCTGCTATGTGATGGAGGGACCAGCCTGGGACACAAGCCACATCATCATCACGGGGAGTCATGATGGCATGGTCCGGGTCAGTGTGCCTTAGTTAGGACGGAGTCATGGTGTTAGAAATCAGTTGATCTGCATTCTTCTCACCTCCTCCAGGGGGCCAAATCTGAAGTTACACATTTAAAGTCATTCCAGACCAGGTATCCACACCAAGTAATGTCAAGGCTGGTTCTGTCCTCCAGCAATAGCAAACTCAGACGCAGAGATCATGAGAAGCTGTGAATGATATATTGACAAACAGGCTAAGACCAGGGTGCTGGGCATGTGATGGGGGTGGGGGTGGGGGGCAATAAGAGGCACAGTTGAACAGGCTACCCAAGGATGACAGCAGAAGGGAAAGGGAGTATGACCTAGGGAAAGACTAATGACCTAACCACTGAGTATCATTTTGCAGGTAATGGGAGGCCAGATGCACTCCCCTAAGTTGTCATTTTGATTAGCCAATGCCCTCAGAGGGAAATTGAAGCCTCAGTAATTATTTTTACTGAAAATAAATAAGCATAAGAAATAAAATTGGTCACATGGAGTCCATTGAAGGGGATGCGTGTCATTCCCCAGCCTAAGAGATTTTCTCTTTGGGGGCAGATTTGGAAAACGGAGGATGTGAAGATGTCTGCCTCTGGGCACATCATGGCCGAGAGTGAGGCCTCATCTACACCTCGGAGTCTAAAAGGTAACTGCCAGCGCGTGGTACAGCGTGCCTTGGCCCTTTTCCTTTGGTCTTCAATCACAGGCTTCAGCTCCAGCCAGGCCAGAGGATCAGCTGAGAAGCTGAGAGGCTCTTGGTATTGCTGCCGCACTTTTGCAGAAGACTGTGTGTTGCTGGTGAAATGGGAGGCGGTTGGAGAAGCCCTGCTGAAGTCTTTCTCCTCCACAAACTTGGTGATGATTCTGGGCATAAAAACCAGGACCAGCGTGGTTCTTAGAGATTTGTGAGCTTTAGTAGGGAAGCTACACTTCATTGAGCTTGATTTGAGCTCTCTCTCTGCCTGGGTGACTCTCAAGTGCCAAGTTCTCCTAGGCTCAGCTGGCTTGTGGCCTAGACAGACAGCCTGCAGACAGAAACAAAGGGAGGACTTTGCTGTGTCCCCTGAGAAGAGGAAGTATTCTCATCCTGCCCCAGCCTGTCCCCTAGACCCTGGCTCAACCACACACCTAACTCTCTGTGGCAAGTTCCTCAAAGAGGGCCTGAGCATAAGCAGCATTCGAATCACTAGGATACTTATTTAAAATGGCAGCCCTAAGTTCTACTCCTCAACCCAACCAACAGGGGACAATAGTTCAACATCCTTCCTCTTCTGACTGTTTGATCTGAGGTTACTATGGCTCACAGAATGAATCCCCAGGGTTTTTATTACAGTGCAATGGAGGGTTCTGAGGATGTGGCATGGAGGAAAGACATTCATAAAAAGAATCCATAAAGGACCTGTCTGAGCTACAGTTTAATGTTAACAAATCCATGGACGGATGTTGTAAACGTAATCCACTGAAGCTCTTTCATAAGGATCCCTGGTAGCACAGTGGATTAAGCAATTCAGCTGCTAACAGCAAAGTCACTGTTTCAACCCATCAACCACACAAGCCTGGAGGGAAAAAGACCTGTCTGCTCTTGAATGCGTTTAGGAAGCAGTGATACACAAAGCCCCACTTTTTTCTGAGGGAGAAGGGATAGCTTGTCAGTTCCTGAGATTTATAGTCTCAGGAACCCTGGGGTCCCATTCTACTCTGGTCTATAGGTTCACTCCGAGGAGAAATTGACTCAACAGCAGTGGGTGTTTATTCTTATGTTCTCCTAATACTGTTGGAACCAATTTTGTTTTAAAGGAATAAGTATTGGGCACATATTTAGTGCTACATCCCTCATGTGTATTAAGGTATAAGAAACTAGATCTTTGAGATATTAAAGATACTGCATTTGTTGGCAGATCCTATCTAATTTCTGTCTTGAATTCACTTGTTTATCATTTGCAAGAAAGATGATTCCAATGAGTATAAGTTATTTCAGGGATCCTCCCATAGATTTGGACTAGATCTAATATATTAAAGGCTTGTTTGGAGTTATGCACAAAACAAACTTGAAAATGCCTTTTTCTGGTTCAAGGAAGTCCCCTTTCATATTTCCTGGCATACAAGCCTGTTTGCACACAGAGATGGCAACCCCGGAATAGCTCAGACAACCACCTTCTTTTTTGCCTTAACAGAGTGGCTTTGCAGATTCTGTCCCACTGTATGTATCTCAAACTCCATTCTCCACAGGAAAGGAGTTAATGCTTACCCCCAAATGCACTCATTAAAATGAGTGAAGTAACAATCATTGAGTTACATTTTTTGAAAGAATGTCCTCAGCATTTAATTATTGGTTGCGGTGTGAGAGGATTTAGATAAGTTGATAATGCCAACTTTATGCAATTTATTTTTACTAGGCAATTACACGGGCTGCATTACATCCTGGCAGCAAGGTATTGTGGGGCATCTTATTAAGCATAAAGCCAGTAAACACTGATGAACAATTTTGCTGAACTAGGCATGCAATTTAGAAAGCAATAATACACAAATCCAATTTGGTATACAATGGATACCGCAGCACGTCAGCACATGTAACTATCACAGGCTGCAAATTAAATTGTGATGGCCCTTTTTGCAACTGCACAGGCCAAGATTAAATATATTTTCTCTCTCAATTTAACAACTTGCTGACCACAAAGATAAATATGTGTGTTTGTGTTCCTGTATACAGGTGTGCATTTGTGTGAGGCCGCTCAAGGTTTTCTAAATATTCTCCTTCACTCTTCCCACAGGTCACAGGTGGGAGAAGAACCTGGCCCTTTGTCGAGAGTTGGATGTCAGTGTTGCTTTGACAGGGAAGCCAAGGAAGACCAGCCCTGCAGTGACAGCTTTGTCTGTGTCCAGGTAACTGCCACCTAGTTTCTCCAGATCTCCAGCAGAGGGCACCACAACCAGCTTAGGTCCTGAGATCAGGCTGTCTTCCCTAGGAGACCATATTACTGCACTGATGCCGGAGGGCCATGGGCAGATGGCTAGGTGGCCTGTGCACGATCCTTGGAGAACAGACACATTTGTCTGTACTCCCTCTCTTGAATATTGTGGATTCAAAACGTAATTCAAAAACAGTGAATGCAGTTTCTCAAGTACTAGGCTCACAGGCTTATCGCTAACATTTTTTCCCCTTAATTCTCTTCCCAAGGAACCAGACCAAACTCCTGGTTGGTGATGAAAAGGGGAGAATCATCTGCTGGTCTGCAGATGGGTAGGAGCAAAAATACAGCACTAGGCTCCTCCTTGGAAGCTTCGAGGGCAGCAGCCAGTGTGCTCTCAGGGCAATGGCATGAGGTAAAATTTGTCTATGATGCAAGACCTGAATTTGGCTGCAAGTGAAACCCCAGTTGTCCTCCTCCCTCTCCCATTGCAACTAATACCCACTCAATACTCCTAATGGCCCCAGAATTTCACCTTTGATTCCAGAAAGATGTGCCTCTACTACAGGATAAGATCGCATGTTCAAGAACCTGCAGGCAGCCTGATGATAGATCCTGGAGCCATGCTTCACACTAAATTACTCATAAGTTGCTTTATTAAAGGTTTATTGCATTAAAATGTTTGTTTGCTTGGTGGAAACAGAAAATAAGTGTTGTCTATTAAAGTACATTTTCCCCAAATATAAGAAGGCTCTTAAGCTTAAAATCATTGTCATTTTCTACTTGGGTATTTGCTTGTTCATACTTACAAAGACAAGTACAGACTCTAGTGCACATCGACACACAGAGGTCAACGGTCCCATGTACACACATTGACTTTGAACTGGAGCTCACCTTGGGGAAATCTTGACACTGTGACTTTTGTTTCCGCTATAAAATTCTGGCAGATGGGGTTGAGCCCTGCTGAGAAGTTTCAGATACCTCTTTGTGTTAGGCTTGGTTCTCTAGAGAAGCACAACCAGTGATCTATGTATGTGTATGTATATAGAAAGAGATTTATATCAAGAAATGGCTCACATAGTTGTAGAAGTGGGCAAATCCAATCTGGTTAAAGTCCATGGGCAGATGTAAGCTGAAGGCTTCACCTGACTTCTGTAGGTGCAGGGGCTGATGAACAGGAAGCAGGCAGATGAAGCAGAAAGACCACAGTCTGGTATATGCCAAGCTGAGTGAATCTGAGCTCATCAGTGTGCTGCTAGCTCCTGGGATCAGCAGGTAATATAATAGGAGATCGATGAACTAGATGGAAGATCTCGGTCTGGCAGTAGAAGTGAGCCAACTTCTGCATTCTGTGAGTCTAAACTAAGAGTAGGCCATATCCTGAATGAAAACTCCCTCAGATGTCTCAAAATGATGACCAAATTAACCGTTTGGCTACTTTACATCATGGAGTTGACCACACTATGTTAGGTCATATTAAGGGAGAATCCTGACTCACTAAAGTTGATATAAAACAAATCACATTCCTAATGCCTGTATTGCAGACATGACTTACTTTTTTTAAAGCATTTTATTGGCATAGATTTCACATATTACATAATGCAATGATTCAATCATATTAAAGATGTACAATCATCTCAACAATTTTAGAACTTTTCTTTCTTTCTTCTACTCACTGTCATCAGCTCCGCAGCTCCCCACAACCTCTCTCACCACAATCACCAAGAAACAAAAAATTCAGTCATTGTCTCTCTAGCTCTGCCCATCCTGGATTTCATATACCGAAAATTAGAAAACAGCATACAGGAAGAAAACTAAAAAAACAAATCCCACTACACTATGTATGGTAGCAAGGCTATTCACATCCCTGGTCCATGGTCAGAGGATATTCACTGGAGGCTTAATCCATGTTTGAACCCTGTGAGTGGATTTTCACTCCCACCGTCATCCATAGTTTTCAGCAAACTGGATATTTAAAATTTAAGCTTTGATACTACTCTTTCTTTTGGGTTTCAATTTTAAAATTCACAATTATTGGATCACACAGGCTGGTGTGCTTCTTCCGTGTGGTCTCAGTTGACACCTCACTCAAATGGCTGCTTGATTGAAGACAAACTTTTAAGACCCCAGATACTGTTTTTACTAATAGTTGGGCACCATCTAGTTTCTTCTGCACACTTTGCTATAGCCCCCATATCTGCAGGGATCTCTTCAGGAGGACAAGTATCACAGAGGGCCATGTCATAAGAACTGATTAACTTAGTGAATTTATTTAAAATTGTGGAATTTAAAACACTGTTGAAAAAAAGCATATTATAAATGCAGAATGGCTGCAAGCTGCAATACATTGGTTTGTACAGATTAAACCATTATGTGACAGAACACTATTCATATAAACAATGGGGGTTGGTGATAGAGTGAAACTTTTAATAGCATTCGTTCGCAATGACAGGATAATGCCTACCAGCTTAAAACATGTCATAATAAAGGAAGGAGAGCATTAAAATAGTAACGATATGATAGTCCTGGGCCACTATCCATTGGGTACCCTCAGGGTAACAGGTGTGCACTAAAATCCAATGATACCTAGTTCCAGAACCTCGGGTTATCAGCCATCTGCTTCTGAAACACTAGAAGTTTCCAACCTAAAGACCAAGAGCTACAGCTGAGTTTGAGGTAAAGCTCAGTTCACTTAGTGGGGTTTCTACATCACATCCTTCTGGTGTGGCCTATGGATAATGATGTGTGCCTCAAAAGAACAATGTCTAAAGTCACAGTGGTCTTAGCACACTGCCTGGGTTCTCAAGGCTGGATAGCAACTAAGTCAAAAGTCTCTCATTAGGAATAGTTCCAGGCATATTCTCTCCTTGGGTTCTGTATAAGTATTGCTATGTATTTTGTTTTGTTTCTCCTCAGTGGGAGATTGCTTCTCTATGTTTACCCACCAACAGAAATGAATTGCCTTCTCTGAGACCTGTATGCCCTTCACCCCATTCTGAGTTGAATTTCCAATAATGTTTACTTATTACTCTTATAAGAGTTTCTATTAATTTAGGGTAACCTCAGCACAATGTTATATGGTAAAAACTGAATGACCCTCTCTTTCTCCCCACATCCCCCAAAACGGACTCCAGATGAGATGAAGTCTCTGTTGGAGTAGCTTTCATTTCTTTCTGTTGTCTAATGGTTCTGTCTAAAATTTCCAATCCAATGTTCAGTAAGAGTGGTGATAGGGGACATCCTTGTCTAGTTCCTATTTTCGGGGGGAATGTTTTCAGTTTTGCCCCATTGAGCATGATGTTGGCCATTGGTTTTTCATGTATGGCTTTTATTATATTGAGATGCTTCCCTTCTATTCCTATTTTGTTCAGTGTTTTTATCAGCACTGGGTATTGGATATTGCCAAGTGCCTTTTCTGCATCTGTTGATATGATCAGATGGTTTTTATTCTATAGTGAGTTTTATACCAAAATGAGTTTAGGAGTTTCTTGTCAATTTCTAGGTTTTAGAATACTTTGTGTAGCTCCTCATTAAAGACTTGTTAGAATTCCCCTGTGAAGCCACCTAGTCCTGGACTTTTCTTGGTTGCAGTTCCTTGATGACCTTCTCTATTTCCTTCTTTGCTTAAGGCTTTGGTGAGGTTGAGGTTTTACACTTCTGCCTAGGTTAATTAGAGAAGACAGTGTTTATCTATGTATGTGTTCATTTCTTCTAACTTGCTGGAATGTAGTTTTTCCATAGATGTTTATTATTATTTTATTTCCTTTGGATCTGTTGTGATGTCACCCTTTTCATCTCTAATTCTAGATATTTGCATCATCTTTTTTCCCTGCTTACGTTTGCCAGCAGTTTAAAAACAAAATTTTTTTAATAAATACTTTTATTGGGTGCTCTTACATCTCTTTTTTTATTTCCACTGTGCAACCCGCTTCAGTGCCTGAAGCCCACGGGGTAAAGCCAGTCAAAAGTTCGGGCAATGGTCCCGTTTGCTTTGGCATGGGACACTATGAGAGGCCCATGGGATTGAAACTGCCATCAATCTAAATCTATGCACGCTTTTACATCTCTTATCACAATCCATACATTCATTCATCCATTGTGTCAAGCACATTTGCACATAGGCTGCCATCATCATTTTCAAAGCATTCTCTTCCCACTTGAGCCCCTAATATCAGCTCCTCATTTCCTTCCCCTTCTCTCCCTGCCCACCCTCCCTCATGAACCCTTAAAAAGTTATAGCTTATTATTTTCATATTTTACATTGTCCTCCGTCACCCATCACCCACTTCTAATCCTCCTGGTATCTCTACTCTCACTGTTGGCCCTGGGGTGTTTATCTATCCTGGATTCCCCGTGTTGTAGACTCTTGTCTGTAACAGTGTGCATGTTCTGGTCTAATCTGATTTGTAAGGTAGAATTGAGGCCATGATAGTGGGGGGAAGAAAGCACCAAAGAACTAGAGGAGAGTTGTGTGTTTCATTGGTGCTATACTGCACCCTGACTGGCTCATTACTTCCCTTTGACCCCTCTGTAGGAGAATATCTAAATGTCTACAGATGGGCATTGGCTCTCCACTCCACACCCCCGGCCCATTGACATTGGGTATGATTTTGTTCTGGGTCTTAGATACCTGGTGCCTGATCCCATCAACACCACATGATCACAAAGGCTGGTGTTCTTCCTCCATGTGGGCTTTATTGCTTCTCAGCTAGATGGCCACTTATTTATCTTCAAGCCTTTAAAACAGCAGATGCTATAGCTTTTGATAGTTGGGCCCATCAGCTTTCTTCACCATTTACTTATGCACCCATTTTGTCTTCAGCGATCATGTCTGATAGGTGAGCATCACAATGTCAGATTTTTAAAACAAAGTGTTCTTGTATTGAGGGAATAACTCGAGTGGAGGCCCAATGTCCATCTGTAACCTTAATTCTTAACATACAGATATGAGTACATAGTTCTATTCCTCTCTTGTTATATATATATTTACATCTGTACATGCCTGTATTGAGACCTCTATAAATGTCGTTTGCCTCCTGGTTCTTTCCTCTATTTCCTTTTACTTTCCTCTTGACCCACCATCATGTTCAGCCTTCATTTGGGTTTAGTACTTCCTTGCTGCTACATTGCCTTTGATTAAGCCCCACTAGGCATCTTACGATCTTCTCTCCCTTGATTTTAGTTCACTTATTGTTCCCTTGTCTGCAAGTTGGTTCCCCCGCCCTTCCTTTCTCCCACCTTCCCTTCTCCCCTATCCCCCTGGAACCATTGGTCCCATTCTTTTCATCTCTAAATTATTTATTCTGCCTATCTTATCTAGATAGACATGCAGATACAATAATAAGTGCAAAACCCCAGCAAAGCCAAATAAAACAAAAAAGGGAGTTGAGACCAACAAAACAATAGCAACAACAAAAAGAAAGCAACTGACAAAAATGGAAAGGCCTATCAATAGTTCATGGTCTGTTTGTTGGCCTTTATGAGTGTTTTCCATTTGAGTCTGATGGGGTGCCACCCTCTGTCTCCAAAGTCTATTCTTGGTATACCCCGGGGATTTTATCACTTTGCTCCCCTTGCTGCTCTGTTGCATGCTCTTAGTGTTTCGCCCCAGCGTGATGGGGTCAGATTGTGCACAATTCCTGCACTCTGTCCCCAGTATTGTCCCCTGCAGTGTTAGGGTTTAGTGAGGGATGTTGTGTCTCGTGGTGGGGCTGGCCCTATGCTCCTCTCTGTGCGTTGTGTACTCTGAGCAGGAATATGGTCCTCAGGGCTTGGTGGGCCAGGATGTCCTCCCCTCCCTCTCCATCCCTTTTCATTTCTCCCCTGTGCTCTAATCACACGTGCCCCTCTCCCCAAGCTGTATCCCCAGTGCTGTCCTCTGAAGTGCATTCTTCTGAGGGGGGTAGTGGTGGAAGTGTGTCCACATAGTTGGGATTGGGCTGGTCTCTCTATTGGTTCCCTGGTGCATGCCAATATATTGTATCCACATCTTGGTGCATCGGGTTGAAGCCTTGTCTCTCTCTCCCTCTCCTGTGGAGATATAAATAATACCCTCCCCTTGGGTGGGGTAGTGCCCTGCTCCCCCTCTACCCATGACTATTTTTTTCTCTTTCTTTCCCCCTCTTGTTAGTTGGCTGCCATAAATATCCCTGGATTGGGTTTGTCCCCTGCCATAGTTGCTGGACATCACCCCAGGGATGTATGTATAAGGTAGCTTTTCCGCTATGCCCCGTTGTTGGTTTTTTTTAAGCTTACCTCAGTGGACTCATGTTGTACTTGTCCTTTTGTACTTTGCTTACTTCACTTAGCATGATTTCCTCTAGTTCTTCCCATGTGGCAATGTGCTTCATGCGTTCATTGCTGCTTTTTAGGGATGCGTAGTACTCCATTGTATGTATGTACCAAATGTTTTGATCCATTCATCTTTGATGGAAATTTTAGTTGTTTCCAACACCTTGCAATTGTGAACTGTGGTGCATTAAAGATTGGTGCACAGATGTCTGGCTGTGGTTTGTTTCTCACCTCTTCTGGGTATATGACCAGTAGGGGGATTTCTGGGTTGTATGTAGCTAAATTTCCATGTTTTAGATATCGCCAAATCGATTTCCATATTGGCTGCACATAACTACAGGTCCATCAGCAGTGGAAGAGAGTTCCTGTTTCTCCACAGCCCCTCCAACACTTGTAACTTTCTGATTTTTTGAATTGGGCTATCTTAAAGGACATTCATTGGTATCTCATAGTTGTTTTAATTTGCACTTATCTTATGGCTAATGATGAGCATTTTCTCCTATGTTTATTGGCCATTTGGATTTCTGCCCCCGTGAAACTTCTGTTCAGGTCCTTTGCTCACCTCCTTATGGGGCAATTAGTTTTTTTCTTATTGTAAGCTTGAAAAGTATTGCAGACATTAGTAATAAGGTCTTTGTCTGATGTGTCATTGCTAAAGATGTTTTCCCAGTCTGTGGGCTCTCTTATTACTCCCTTGGTGAATTCTTTTTAAAAAAAATTCTTTAGTATATCTTCAGTATATCCCATTTGTCGATTTGTGACTCCTCTGTGTTTATATCTTTCTCTATTTCTGATAGCCTGTGTATTCCCTGTGCCAAGGTTCTCAGGTTTGTCCCATTTCCCTCAATAATGACCTTAATAGTTTGGGGTTTTACATCAAGGTCTTGAATTCACCTTGAGTTTATTCTTGTGCATGGAATGAGGTGAGGGTCTTGCTTCATTTTTCTGCAGGTAGATATCCATTTTTTCCAGCACCACGTATGGAAGAGGGCATCGACTTCCCATTTGATATGTTTTGGGGCCTTATCAAAAATCACTTGTCTGAGGGAACAACGAGTGGTTCAAAACCAATGAAAGAGAGGGGATGGGAGGACTGGTAGGGAGTGACCAAGGGCAAGGTAACTGAGAGGAATTACTGAAACCAGAATGAAGGCTGAACATGGTAGTGGGACAGGAGGAAAGTGTAAG